GTCTTATACAGACCTCACTACAACCATGATCTCTTTCACGATCAAACTATCAAATAACAACCTGTCAGTATAATCTACCAATTTTCTAAATTCACTGCAGTTTAGCGATGAAGGAATGATTTAATGATTTCATGATGATTCAGCATTTTAAACTGCCAATCCTTTTTTTTTTTTTTTTCAACAGAGACATTCACCTAAATGCATCTAATAAAATTCAGATGACAGTTACCCATTTCCAATACTTTTTATCAGGATTCTCAAGTAATTTATGCTATATACTCTCTGAGTTTGAAGTCCTTCTCAAATGATTCATCAACTAAAAAAATGCAATGAATTTCACTCCTCCAAAGAGCTACCAAAATGACTGTTATCTCTACATAAATTCCATGCACTGCTTTTTTTAAAAAAAGTGATGTTCAGATAACACTTTTTCATGGCTGAGTAGACATTTTCTACTTTTAAAAAACCCCAACTTTTTAAAGAAAAATTTCAAAAGATTTATCTAGAAAAAGACCTACTTTCCACTTACAGTCATATAGCCATATAAGAAGTCCAGACTACACCGAATAGTTGACATTGTGTGTTAGACTATGGGCCAAGAACTCCTGTGGGACTTGAAGTTCACATGAAGTGCAAGAAATATTTAAAATGCCAAAAATATTGATAAATACTGAGTCTAAATAGGCTAAAAAAACATTCCTATTCTTGGTCAGATAACCAGTAGTGGTATTCAAATAGCAGTATTTATTTAGCATCTGTCATATTGTTCCAAAAACCTTAATGTGAAATTTCATTCAGAAGGACTTATTACAGAAAGCAATTTGTATATCACAGTCACTGACACAATGGGAACTAGGTAACAATCTAGCAGCACTTTAATTAAGGGCTCGATGAAACATAGAACAGCAACTCTTAGGAATGTCATCCCAAGTTCATTTGACATGATAAAGCACATTGAGGGCATTTGTAATTACACTTTTAGGAAAAGACAAAGGGTAATTATGGAAAAATACAATGATTTTAAGTAACAGAAATTCAGTATATGTTAAAATTTATTGTTATTACTTTTGTGTCTGAAAACAAACATAGGATTAGTGAAGCACTTCAACAAATATAATTATAACAGAAGAAATTATTTCATGAAAAAAGATTCCCAGTTACATACTTCTATATGTGGGGTATAGACTTCCAAGATTTCCCTGGATTATTTTATTATATACTTTTCAAAATGTGAAATGAATTGGATTTACAGACATCTGGAAGTGAAATTCAATTGTAGCTGCACAGACATTGGTAAACATTTCTCAAGAGCAAATTGCACATCAATACAAGCAACTCATTTTTTAAAAACATGGCTCCGTGTACTTAAGAAAATGAGGCCATGTACAGATTCCTACTCAGAATAAGGATTATGCCTTATTCTCAATCTCCCCCTGTCTACAGATGCAGAAACTCACTCTAACTCAGTGTGTACATGGATGCTCCTCCCCGAAAGAGCAGAATTATACTCCTGTTTTGCAGTATGGAGCTTGTTCCAGCCCCTTGTCTTGTCTTGGCGTGACTGTGGACATCAGAGAAGTAATTCCTCACTAACTCACTGCAAGTCAGTGTAACATTTGTGCTGCTGGTACCTCTTCAGACAGTCTACAGCCTAAGATCATGGGGGCATATTCCCTTGCTCTTCCTTAAATTGATTCAAATACGAATGGAGAATTGCACTTTCAGTGTGTGGAGAACCGGTTACCCAAATATCATTTAGAGTCTATGTAGCTATCACTCTTGTTACCTAATCATTTCATTCCACACAGATGTCAGAGCACTAAAACCAAGTTATGAGAAATGTGTGGATCTCTATTCAGACAGGCTCATCATTTTCTGAGACTAACCATAGTGAGGATTAGTTGCATGGCTGCTCAGCTCTGCAGCCTTTAACACATGAGCTTTTAATGCACTGCTCTCTGTGATTAATCCCACTGCAGTAATCACAGATTAATAACTTCCATTAGTGGGTACTGTCTGACACTTCTAAAGGCTGCTCAATGACTCTCAAGTTCCAGGTACTAGCTGTGTTTTTTTCTTTTTAAACTTGGAGTCAGTGCACTGGCAATTCTCCAAGCAGTTATGCAAAACAGAACCACCACAAAGGAAGTGGAACATGTCTCACCTTTTCTCCTCTTTCTCCAGGGTCACCCTGATGAAAATAATTGAAGCAAAGAAGTCATAAGTTACTAACTCAAAGAAAAATTAAAGTGTTAGTATTACTACCATTAGTATGTCAATTACTAGCCCTTATGTCACTACCGATGACAATGCCTCAGATGATAAAATCCAACAGAAAAATCTCCAATAAACAATAGAATATGTAAATGTAATAGACCTCAATGGACAATACAACTTAAACATAATTTTAAAAGCTTAATGATTTGCATGTAAAAACTTCCCTCCCTCCTCTTTTGTCCCAGATTAAACACTGACAAACAGGTGTATGTCTTCGAGAGGTGGCCTGTGAGGATGTAGGTAATTCCTACATTTGGTTTTCCTTATGTTGGGAATGAACAAAGGAAAACCCCGAAGTCTGAATGTGAAGGGAAAGTCTTAACCGTTTTAAACTAATTCTTACTTTTGTTTCAGAGTAAAGAGGCTTCAGTGCTCCTTACATTCTCTGTAACAATCTCTGTAACAAAAAGATGGCTTATAGCCACTATTTTTTTCAAAATTAAAATGTGCTTGAGAAACTGCAAATGCACTTTTGCACACCAGCCTGACCCTGACAACTCATCTCTGCATTTCTGGCTCAGAGCTGCACTCTGGCTCATATTTGCCCCTTCTGAAGGCTGGTGGTCGCTAGGCAACTCAGAGACTACAGCTGTGACTACGAATTAAGCATCAACTGCCATAATTTGGCTTCTGTTAGAAAGTAAGAAAAGGTCATGCTCCCAAATGGTTTGTTTTCATTCCTGACGGACAAGCAGAGAGTCAGTAAATGTAAACAGGCTGCCCTGCATGTCTGTCAGTAGCAGCATGATGCACAGAATCAGCTGAGGAGCACATGTGCACCAAAGACACACGCCCGCAGCTGATGGGATTAGAATTTAGCACACAGAAGCCCACAGATCCCACCATCTTTGACGTTGAGCTTTCTTTTCAATGAAGTTATCGTAAGCTTTACGTTCTATTTCACTTGTTCAATATTAAAACAGCAGAACAAATAATATAACAATAAAATAAGTGCGAAGAGTCATATTGATGTAACAAACACAGGCTGAGACATGCTCCTAATGAGGCTTGTTGCTAACTTCCATAATAGCAGGATCAGCCCTCGAGACTTAACCCTGACATTCGTCAAAGAGTTGACCACAGCAGTTCTTGAAAAGAAGCCTGAAACACATTGTAAGGGGCATAAACAAAGCCCTTCTGAAAAGGTCCCCAAATTCCCAAACACTTGCAGGCATATTGCATTCACTTGGCAGCGATGTATATGCGTCAGTGCTGCTGACTGGGATTATACATGCACAGCAGAAGAATATGCTCCCTTATGGGGAAATGTGCAAAGCCTCTTACAGCACTGATCACTGGAAGGAGCAGACCATTAAAAGCCACTCAGAATATAAACCCAAGTTGGAAAGCATGACTGTCACCTATATATGCACTCACATACTGTGTTTCTGTTTTTAATCCATTTTCAGTACTGACCTTAAGCCCCGCTGCTCCCTTCTCTCCTGCTATGCCAGGCAAACCAGGTTCACCCTAAAGGCAAAGAAAACAAAACATGAGGTTAGGAAAGATATGATGAAATATATGAATACTCTCATATTGGATAAGTAACGATAAACAAAATTTAAAAAGACTCGGCGAATATGTACTCCACAGTTAGGCACTAAAACGCCTTATTTCATCAGGTTGGATTAACTCTAACCTATATAAGACAAGAAATAATTCTACTGAAGGTGGTAGAGACACACAGATGTCAAACTAAACAGAAAAGAGAACTGTGACTCCTGATTCTGAAAATCTGGCCAATTAACCTTAAAAGCATAGTCTTCCCAGCAAGACTGCCAATGCTTTTTTCTTTTCTAAAACCTAGAAATACTGCAAGAAAGGCTTATCTTAAATGATTTTGACATTTGTGCTTCTGGTCTCATACAGAAGGCAGATAATGAAATAAAATGAGAAGGGTCCATTTCAGAAATTAAAGAATTTGGAAGAACAGAGAGCTTTTTAATTTTTTAAACCTACTTTGCTTGTCCATTTTTGATACTTTAATACCACTGGCTAATTTAAAAGATTTAAAAACGTTCAGAATTACATCGATGTTCCAACTTTTGGGTATTTTTAATGGATAGTATATTATTCTTCTACAGTTCAAGGAGTCATAAATGATTTTCATAAGTCACAACAAATAACAATTATTTTCAATTTTTTTCCCTCCCCCAAATTTAAAAACAAACAAAAGAAAGAAAGAAGCAAACAAGAAAAAAACAAACCAAAACAAACTCCTAAAAGACATTTCTTAGTGTTTATATCCCAGATTTACAGGAAAAACACAGATATTTATTTTAGACAAAATGATAACACGATGGTTAAACTTTATTGTAAAACAACTAGGGTTTACTATACAAAACCCTTTGCAGATGTATATCTGTCTCACAACAAACACCTACCTTCTTTGATAACCCTCACGTACAAAACCGCATCACACTTCTGGCATAGCAAAGCACATAAAAATAACAGCCACAAAAAGATCTGAAAAAGCCTGTAACTAGGTTCTTCTACAAGCCCTTTGCTATGTAAATGTATAAAAATGTGGAAAAGTTAAATACAGTTATACAACCCAAATTAGAAACAGTAATTTGTATCAGAAACTCAGTGAACAATTTTCATACAGTATTCAAACTTAGTACACACGATGAACCAATCCTCTACTCAGAAGTTACAGATGAATTAAGAGAAAGGCTTTTTCAAATACAACAACATGTGTTTTCTAATCCTCCATAAAAGTCTTCTATTAAGAAAGGACTTAGCTTTTTCTTATTTCCACAGTCTCATTTTAATCACAGATATATAAACTCTGATTCTCTGTGAAAGCAAGTTCCATTGTATCATTAATTACATTTTAATTTCATCAAGAGTTGTTTCAAAATACAAACCAAAACCTTCGAGGTTCTAGCAAAACTCTATTGAGGTATTTTCCAAGCCAGAGAAAAAATGTTAGGTATCATTAAGCTCACAGGAAATTAAATAGCCATTTGTGTCAGCCCTTTCTCAAGGCTCCTTTGTACTACAATAGCTGTAAGGCTGATAAAGTGGCACAGACATTCGATATATGAGTAGTCAGGATCTGAAGCTGGGAGATTAGATGTGTCCTAAAGGATTGACCTAAAAGGGTCTTGAAGAAAACTGCCAGTTGACAAAATGAAGCAGAAGGGACCAATGAATATACACTTGTTTCTCCTCATACTCACACCCCAAACAATTTTGTTTCTGTCCCCTTCATTTTCAAACAGCTGCTGTTGGCTGACGTTTTCATGGGGCTTAAATCTCTAATCAAAAGGTTGAAGTTCCAAGCCTGCCCTTTCCTCCCAGGTTTACATATAAGTGCTATGAATGCAGAGGGCTACTACTGTGACAAAATGGAGACTGCAAAACTAGAACAAAACAATTATTTTCTTTGAAAAAGAGGTGAAAACCTCAGGCTGTCACCTAGTCATAGTAAATCCCTATTCATACCAACAGTCTCATTTCTGACCCATATGCGACTTTTCTATGCTCAACACTATGTTTCTGGCACTGGAAGTACTAGTCAGAGGCATCAGAACAGCAGAAATTATCTCTGGCAATGGGAAAGATTGAAGGCAAACCTAGAAGGACAGCACAGAAATGACCTTGTGGCTTTATGTTTTTGAAGCGATTATCATTCTGTTTCTAATGTTCAGACGAACAGGGACTAAAATAATTTTCTGTCATACCTATAATATTACTTTCCCTATTTTAGAACTCTATTTTCTTGTCCATACAAGGAATCAGGGGGTAGGTAATAAGGTGAAGTAAAAATGTACAGCGAATAAGAAAAAAAAAGAAAAAAGAAAAAAAGAAAAAAAGGGGAAAAAAAAAGAAAAGCTCCCCCTAAGAGCAAAACAGACCAAAGCCTTGAAAGACCTCTCATTGATTAGGAAATTCTAAAAGTAGTTATGAAGCAAAACAGCAGTTAACTTTTGAAGGTGAGTAGATTGATAGTTTTTCCCATGCTACACACTGAAATACTATGTTATTGTAGCAATGTTGCTCCCAAAAGATGATTTGATTCTTGACATGAAAATAGTGGCATTAAATTGGCATTGAAATATTTCTGTTAGGAAATACAGTTAATTATTTTCCTTCCATTTAGTTACTTTTAGTTATTTATATATTTATTACTCAAAGCCTATATTAAAACCAGAATGCAAAGTGCTGTATGAGTAAATTGGAGTATAAAATACTGTATAAGTATGTTTCAGCCCCATGGGTTAATGTTTTGGAGATGAACAAAAGGCATAGCTGACCTTTAAAAGGCTGAAGATAATTTACATGATTTTCAAGGAGTGATGTGTGCAAGGGAAAACTAGACATTCGACAATGTCATCTAATGCAATAATTTAAATCAGACTTCTTTTCAACCTGATAGAATGAAAGAAACTATAAAACTAGATCATTAATGTCACCTTTTTTACATTCACCAGGCCATGGGTAATGCCTTTCCTGACTCCTATTGCAGTCTCTCTTTAAAAGCATTGACAGCAAAGGTGTTAGGCTGCAGAAACATTTGTCTTCTGCACATCATCTAGCTTTCAAATCGAGGCAGCATATTGTTATTTATTTGTTCTTTCACATAATCACAGAATTGTTGAGGTTAGAAGGCACCTATGGAGATCATCCGATCCAATTCTCCCTGCTCAAGCAAGGTCACCTAGAGTTGCATGCCCAGGATCACATCCAGATGGTTTTTAAATATCTCCAAGGATGGAGACTCTATAGCCCCCCCAGGCACCTGTATCAGTGCTCAGTCACACTCACAGTAAAAAAAGTGTTTTCTGCCCTTCAGAGGGAACCTCCTGTGTTCCAGTTTGTGCCCATTGCCTCTGGTCTTGTCACTGGGCACCACTGAAAAGCACTTGGCCCATCTTCTTTGCACCTTCCCTTCAGGTGTTTGTCCACACCGACGAGATTCTTCCCTGAGCTCTCCCCTAGGTTTAAGTCTCAGCTCTCTCAGCCTTTCCTCACAGCAGACATACTGCAGTCCCTTGCTCATCTTTGAGGCCCTTCATAACCAGTATGTCCCTCTCTTGTACTTAGGAGCCCACAACTGGACATAGTACTCCAAGAGTAGTCTCAACGGTGGTTTTTTTACCATTTAAAGAGTAATTTTGTCTATAGTACATCTGATTTTAGCTCATAGCTTGCCTTTCTCCAGTCATGAACTCCTGAGAAATTATCACTCGAGGACAGAGTGACTGCAATCATGCTCTAAATCTTTCTAGTGGCTATAAAACACAATCCATAATCCCAATTAAAGATTTAATGAGGGCTAAACTGTACCCTCATACAAGAAAAAGATGCAAGACCCAGAGAAATTGTCTGAAGCCACCCTCAGAGCATTCCCTTGAAACTTTTTCCTGAAAGGGATGGACTCTGGGGAAGATGATGTGGGGAGGTGTGAAATACCTCAGTACTCAATGTAAAGGAATTGATACTAGCCCTTCCCGCCCTTCTGCATTCTTGTTCTCAGCTAGACCACACCATAGAAGCTGTCTTGCGTAATGAAGATCTTGTGTGACTACCATGATATACCACAATAAAACCAAAATTCTCCCTACTGGCACCAAGATGGGCTACGATTTCCAAATACCACCTCAGCAAAGTGCGGCTTAAGTGACACCATGACTGAAAGAGAAATAACTTAGTGGGATGCTGTGGTACCAGCAACATCTTATCTGAATACATTCTCTATCAAGGATTTGCTGTACCAAAGCAGTGAGACAACTACCTGATGCACAAATGCCATGCCCCAAACTGGTAAACATGCAAATATTGCATTAAAAATACTGTTCCAGTAGCCTTTAACTTCCGTTTCATATAAAGTTATTTTCTCTTGTCTTTGTGTAACTTGACCAATCCTAAAAAAAGAGTTTTGTTTTCATTACATGACCACTTCACAATAGACTAGAAAACATTAGAAAACACTAGAAAAGCTTTCTTTACACAAATTTCATGTAAAAATTATGCAGTACTGGAAGGCAATTCTCTAGCCTCCTGTCTACAGCAGAAAAAGACATTGCCCATAGAACACTGAGACACTGAAGTCTTCAGTTATTCACCACCAGCATCCATTTTTTTTCAGATAAAGTTTGCTGAATTCACAGATGGTCTCACACTGGTGGAAATAAAAATTTCCAGCTAATGTTCTATTGTTCACTCACCCAAAATCGATCAGCTTAACTCAGAAGGTACATAAATGTTCCAGTAATTTATCTGATGACAACTTACACAGAGGTATGCTGCAGACACAGTGGGATTGTTTTGCTGTTGTTTATATGCCATAGAGAAATTGCAGTGTCCCCATCAGTGGAATAACTACAGTATGTTGTAATGTTTGTTTACTCTCAGTAACAGGAAAGTCTTTAACATGTTTCATGAGCAAACCTGTGGATGAGGAGCTGCCGTTGACAGTTCCACATGTTAACCCCAAACATCCTGACAGGGAGATAGGCACT